GTGAAGACGTATTACTCATAGCTCAAGTAGTAAAAGATCTTACTTGACTGCTGTGAAGACGTATTACTCACAGCTCTAGTAGTAAAAGATCTTACCTGACTGCTGTGAAGACGTGTTACTCACAGCTCTAGTAGTAAAAGATCTTACTTGACTGCTGTGAAGACGTATTACTCATAGCTCTAGTAGTAAAAGATCTTACTTGACTGCTGTGAAGACGTATTAGTCACAGCTCTAGTAGTAAAAGATCTTACTTGACTGTTGTGAAGACGTATTACTCACGTCTTCACAGCAGTCAAGTAAGATCTTTTACTACTAGAGCTCTTTTACTACTAGAGCTGTGAGTAATACATCTTACCTGACTGCTGTGAAGACGTATTACTCACAGCTCTAGTAGTAAAAGATCTTACCTGACTGCTGTGAAGACGTATTACTCACAGCTCTAGTAGTAAAAGATCTTACTTGACTGCTGTGAAGACGTATTACTCACAGCTCTAGTAGTAAAAGATCTTATCTGACTGCTGATCATTCCTGGTAAGTCAATTAGACCTCGACACCAATGAGTCTCCATGACTAGAAGGAAGGCAGGAGCTATTCATACGAAACCATACAACAGAATTTATCATCTTTAATTTTTTAGAATTACAGCTAGTCACCTAATGTGAGCCTTCATTTAAAATAATACGTGGTATAACTAGCAAACTCTAGTACACAACGAATTTGTGGAGTCTTGTTAAAGTTATATGGATGGTCCCTGTTTCTTTGTTTCACAATGCCATTAAGGACAATGAATATCCATGTCTTAGAACTTCTAAATCCTTGATATGAACACGTATTTATTATGTGAATGTATGAATATTTTTTGTAAGATAAGGACTGTTACATACCATTCTCAAAAGCTATCAATTTTTCGTTGATATCACATAAACATCCAATAAGTCATATTGTAATTATCATGTATGATATACCACCACAATTTTATATCGGTTTATGGTTGCCACGTGACTTGCTGATTTACATATTCAAAATTGTCTTAATATAACGTACTCGACCGTCTGTCAGAAAAATAACTTGCTTTGTACAAAATATTTTATTGTACATGCAATTTATGGTGGATATCACATGGTAATGACAAGCAAAAATTTAATAAAACCGTCAGTTTCTAAAAATAGCGTATTGGCCATAGCTGAAACAAGTAGTATCCCAACCATGGTAAGCGAAGTGTGGTGTTTTGTAAAAGATAAAAATCCATGAATACAAAGGACAATGGTAAAAGCCATACACCTACCCCAGGCAACAATATGCAACACAATCAAATGGGATCTCTACCTGAAAATATGACACACCTATTTAAATTCAGGGGAAATTCTCCCAGCCTCGTATGTAAGTTTGGTAAACCATCTGGATTTGTTTTAGTTCACTTTGTAAATACTGTGGTTTTATTAATCAAGATATACAATTATAGAAGTCACATTTCAAGAACAAGATGGTTCTCTGTAAATTGAACAGCTCAATGTACTGTCCTGTTGGTTACTTTTGTTTTATATAGAACTTTCTCCTGCCAACAATCTTCTTTGTGTTGCAAAGCACTCTCAACTTCAACAGAAACTTTGGTTAGATTTTTAAGTTTCTAATTACCATTATATGCTAACGATACTAAGTACAATTTGTCGTTACAGCAAAGAACTAATTTACTCTTAAAAATGTATGTTATTTACAATAACAATCCTTCAATGTTTGAACATATCCAATTTTTTTTATTATTGTATTTGTTTTAGTGATTAATTATTCAAGTGAAAGTTGGAATACTCCATACCTTAATAATGGTACTACTTCACAATTTCTTTTACAACACCATAATCAAACCTAAGTTCTTTATATTTGCTTGTTGTCAAGCACAAATCTATACAGTACTGAGCTACTGGGGGAGCATTTTCTTAAGTAAAAAACAATATATTTTTACTTAGGCTGACGATGGAGGAGTATGGCTGGTTGTAACACAACTTTGACAATCTCTTTGTTTACTGTGAAGCACATGGATATTGGAGAGAAGTGTCTTTTAAGAGTTCCTGAATGTATATTAGTATTAATGATTGCATCTACCTCTCTCGAAATAAAAACTATGATGTTAAACTTGGAAGTTATATTAGTATTTAAACTACGACAGAATATAGTTTATAAATAAAAAAATGTCTTCTTTCAACCAGTTGTTTTCTTACTAAATTTTATTTTTGTCTTCAGAGAATTTTAATAATTCAAAATAACTGTTTATGAGAATAACTAGTTTAAAATTAGGTCTCTTATGACTAATTATCGTATGTAGTTCAAACTTGCTTACCTGAAATATACTTGTTACTTGTATATAGTTTTACTCACTCAAAAAATATTTCTTGGTTCAGGGATTAAGTTCAAACATAATAAAGGTTACCTGGTTCTTGCAGTCAGTTTTTTTCATCTACAAAGACGACAACTTAAAATCAAGGATTTCTCAATTACCCAAGTTCTTAGAGGAGTTTATTCATCCAAAAAGAAAACACCAACTGCAATTTAATTCTTTTTTTTAAAAAAAAAGAACTCTTACTTATACAGTACTTTGTAGTGAATATGATTTTGGAACATCGTGTTTTTTTATATTGGAAACAAATTATTTTGTTTTTTTTTTGCATTTCAGATGAACTTTGCTTCACTTTTATACAAGAAGGTTTTTATTATTTATTACACCTGAAAATTATTTATTCCATCTATTTAACAAAATATACTAATCATAAGCCAAACAACTTTTTAATGAGTGAACTGTTAAAGTGATTAAAATAATATATTTTCTTGCACCATTTTTTTTGAAAGGCCTCAACTAATTTTTTTAGGTACCCTAATATTTTATGCATTTGTAGAGTAGCTTCACATTCATCTTTGGCTACTTACCATAGTCCATAAAATTTAAACACCTAAATGAGATAATTTATACAATATTCTTTTGAATTAATGGAACTATTACACAAAAGCATTATTAAGATGTATCTAAAGAAAATTAACAAACTTCTTTGAAATCACCACTGATTTGTTTTTTTTTTAAATATTATTATCATTAGTTGCTTGACCCTTTAACAGGCACATATATTTGGCTAAAAATACCCTTAGCTACAAGATTTTTAAAACATTTGTTCTATATTGTTTTTAAATAATTTCCAGAATTCTCTGGTAGTAGTAATTGTCTTCCTACACAATTTTGAATCTAAAGTTTTAGAGGACAGAGTGATAAGTTTCTATACTATATTTTATACCTGGTACATGTACATATACACTACAATAAGATTTCTTTAATCTCATCAACAGTGAAATTAGTTGGAAAATTTTCTGATGTAATTTAAAAAAAAAGAAAGTACTTGGATAATGGAGTGACATATCCATTGGATTAACTAGAAAAGTTCTTCGGAAAATCTTTTTTTCTTTGGATGAGCAGAAGAACCATTAGCTCTAAGCCATCTTCTGATTATCAGAGACTGAACTGCTCTGGACAAATGAAGTGTAGAGAGTTAGAGACAACATCTGGAACTGCTTCTCCTTCCTGTCGTTTGGAAACTAAATCCTTCTGTATCCCACCAAACATAATAAGTTCACCACGTCCCAGTACTAATGAAAACAGGATCATCTCTTCAGGACCAAATGACATAGTGCTTTCTGTTGGGAAGGGGATCCACGATACAGATTTTTTCTCAGTTGCATCACCTATATCCAGTACATATATACACATAGCATTCCTTGAAGGGCTTGATATCCTCTGCTGTCTTCTTCCACTTGGGTAGCTATTACAAAAAACATGCATGGTTACACCAGATTTAATCTTTTATGTGGTTCAAGCTAATGGATGAAAGCTTTTATCCAACACAAAGAAAAAGATGTATAATTATAAAAGTTGAGAAATCATCAACTTCTAAAACATAACAATATAATCAATCTGGATAAAAAAACAACAACATGAAATGTACACAGGTATGCATTTAACATGCAGGCTTTCTGTTTGTTTGTTTGTTTGTTGTTAAGTACAAAGCTACAACATGGGTTATCTGTTCTGTGCCAACTCAGGCTCACTGCTGTGCCACTGGGAGCTTTATTTTACATCCTCTCATAACATATTCATCCAAATCATGACACAACATTTGAAAGTAGCTTTACACTATTATACTCTCTAGATATCACATACTTTCAGTGGTATGTGTAGCAACATTATCATCTCATGAGAGCCAACAACTGTTTCCTTGCAGAACACTGCTACAAAGTAATGTTTTTGTGAAAGAAATAAAACTATTCCACATAAAAAATATTAAACATATGTACCAAGCATTGCTATAAGTAAGTTGGATATTCAAGTGTATAACTCTATGTCTTGTAACCAGAAGGATAAGGAAGTAAATTATGCAACTGGAAGCTATCACAACATTTAAGCTGTTATACTACACTTGGAAACATGTAAAGCATATTGCCTACAAAAAATATTCAAACACATAAATACATAGGTATTTCATTCACAAAGAAAATAAAAATATTATTGCAAAATTTATAGATTTACTTTTGTATGTTCTTTAACACAATAGTGTGACAAAAGTTCATTTTCAGAAGTATATTTCAATTACTATAATATTTACATGCATGTCTTTCAAATAAGTTCCATGTATCAAGTGACTTTAAAATGTCCATATGCATCCACTTATATAAGCACTTAAAAAAAGCTTTATGGTAAATATATTGTATTACCATGGTTTAGATCCTGCTCTGAGACGTCTGATTCGTTGTTCCATCCTTTCAAGACTTTCCAACTGCCGTTGTCTGTTACACTGAGCATTTGGCCTTATGGATAGAATTGGCCTAGGACTAATTTCCTGTTTATGACTAGTGGAAGTTCCAAATGTCTCTGATGTTCTAATCACATGAGAAGGGCCAGGTTTGCTAGGGGAAGTATCACATGTAGCTTGTGTCTGACTCCTGTTTGTTGAAACTAATTTTTTTGCTTGCTCTTTTGACTGGGACTTTTCATCCTCATCACTGCTCGAGACTGGAAACTGACTATCTACTTTCTGACGTTTTAGTACACCTTTCTTCCCATTCAAACATACTTCCTGTTGATGACTGCTTCTTGAATGAGGCCTGGAAACAGAAGGAAATGCTTCCTATGTGACTTTGAAAATTTAATGCTACAGTACATGTGCAAAGCACTGTCCCACTGGAGGTAGAATAGGAAATGTGGGCTGTTACTAATGTGTAGGATAAGATAGTGTTAGTATTTGGATGCAAATTAGCTAATTACTGATGTAGCTGTGACTAATACTGGAACAAGTGAAACACAAGAACGACCAAGGCATGAGAATATCAGCAGTAACTAGCTTTCTTTATACTCAGGTGACAACTACCATTCAGAATAAGTAAATCTCTGCTGATGAGTGAGACTTTATTGTCATAATTGCTCGAAAACACATGTAAATTGAATGTTTGGAACTTACTAACTGAATACACACACACACATATATATATATACACATATAATAAAACATTATGTATGTCGAGAAAGAATTCATTCATAAATCAGTGAGGTAGATGTACACACAGAAAATCTGTATTATGTAATGTAATAATAAGCCTGGTTCACATTTTATTTATTTATTTCTACACTTATTTTAATTTTAAAATATCAATATTTGTCCTTGCAAAAAATATGTAAATTAAGGGAAACTTTGACTGACTCCATCATTTCACGATTACATTTTATAATTATAACATGAATGAATAATAACAGTTTTGTAAAGACTAACACTTACATGAATCATACTTTACAAGTAAAATACACAGGTAAACAGATACAACAGTATTTTTATTATTATTAGAGAATCAAGATGTTATCAATAACTCAACAAATTACTAAATCTTCCACTTTTGCCTCTGCATATTTTGACACCTTAACCATAGCAACCACATTTCACAAGAGACAATCTTGAGAGATTTGATACCATTCACATTTCAAGTAAAACAGTTTTTACAGTGTATTAAATAAACTTTTATGGCATTGTCAGTGACAAGTTGCAACTTAAATCAGGGCCATAGGAAGCAGTAAGGCCATGGTCTGACCACTTTTTTCATGGCATTTATAGCTACAACTTGTATCTTTTAATTCAATACAGTATGTTGGGTGTATGCTGTATTTATAGTTAAAATGGCTTAAAATTCAATCTTATAGTATTAAATTTGCAAAACTTTTCTGCGGGGTCATGCCCCCAGACCCTCTTAAAAATGGCAATGGTTTGACTACTCCAAAATTGCTTCCTACGGTAACGTAGAAGTTCTATGAACTTCAGAAACTTAATAATTCAAATGCATTAACAGATTGCATTCTTCTGTAATATTATATCAAAGTATCTAAAGCTCAGAACAAAATATGTTACTGCATGAAAAATTTATCATTACAACATTTGAAATAAATTTCTTACATGTGATATTGAAAATGTTAATAAGCTTCGTACAAAATATTTCTGCTTTAAGATAAACAGCTCAAATTACTTAACACAAAATATTGAAGTTGAGCTTTAAACTGACACTCCTTAATAAAGATATCACTGCTTGGTATTTTTGATATTATTATTATGCATGATTTAAAACAAAAATGTAAATTACTTAAAAATAATTTTTGAGCAGAAAGGTGTGATGCCATTCCTATCTATGTGCTGACTATTGCTTTGTTTTGTTGCCAGTATTGTATGCCATATGTCAACTTCTTGGTATTTTCAACTGGATGCATATGACAAAGCTACACAGAGGTGTTGCAAGGTGCTTAAAAAAAGATTCATGACTTAGGCCCTTAGACATGGGAATTTTTAGCATTTCAGTATGGTATAGATCATGGTTTCCTATTCAAATTTTTCAAGACACCAATTGGGGACTTCAGGCACTGTCAAAAAGAAACAGGGCCCCATGTGCCAGTGTCTAGAGAAACCTCTGATGCAACATTCATATTTTAGTATGTCTCAAATTCTATTTTTCAAATTATTGTATCTCATAAATAGGGGTGTTTTTTCAGATAAGATTACAGTGATGATGGTAGAGGATACAACTGCAAAGGTTTCACAGAAAACTAACAACAGTGAAGGGGTAAATTGATTTAGACTAAGACTGTATTATATTAGTATAATTCATGGAAAAACCCTTAAGATTAAAAACAAGTTACTTACCAAACCAAAATTAATAAAACTAGGCAAACACAGTTCATGATTAAACACATCTAAGAATATTTATTTTATTTATTCAGGAATGACATACAAATATGGTTACCAAGAAAATTAAAGACATGAAAACCATTAGTGAACAGTGTGAAACTTTATTAACCTCATGTAACAATATTTCCGTTATTATTCAAGAACGCAATACATCAAGATCCCATTTGAAGTACAACCAAGCACATTTTTTTTTAAATAAAAAATAAATTAAGAACAAGCATCTAAACATTTTATACAGTTTTTATGCAAACAGTTAAATACAAACAAACAAACTTTACTGCAGAAACAGTTCTAATACCCATTGGCAGTGTCTCCTACATAGTAATAAAACTAGTATATTTTTTCTGTACCTGCTATCTGCTTGTGGAGGAACCCATATCCTGGATGGAACTCTCAAAACTTGAGGTAAACAAGAAGGAGAGGAACGATATTGTTGTCCACGACTCAGTATCACTACATGGTTTCCAACCTATGCAAAAAATAAAGATATGTGAATCTGATACACTCATAATGTTACAAATGCATATATAAATATTAAGCTCATAAAAATGTTAATTTACAAGCTAAATGCTACAAAGAGAACAGGCACAGAAATAAAACATCCTTCAATTTCTTTTTTATTACATGCTTTATTAGTGTAGTAAAACTATATTCCACAACAGATATGTCTGCATAATACAGAATAATATCAATGTATGCTGAAACATAAAAAACATAAATTATGTCACTGTATGGTATAGTATACAAAAATAAATATATAAACCAAATAATATCTTTGTTTTAATACTCATACAATTATAAAATCTTGAATTGTATCACAGTAAAATACAAAAAAGAACAAAATCCTTAAATTATGTTCCTTATACTAAATATTAGGCAGTAACACCATTTATTAAATCGAAGACAGTACATTTCTCTCACGGAAAGTTGTAAAACACCAAGATCCTTAACTATGTCACATAATGTGGAAAATCAATAATATATTGTCCTGAAGGGTTTCTTCAAGATAATTCCTTAAATTTAATATAATTTTAAAACTGTTTTGAGGTATGATAACTTTCATAAGGTTTCTTTAAAAATTCATACATACAATTAGTCTACAAGATATTTTGCATTGCATTTATATTCTCAACTGTATAAGTTACAAAACTGTATTACATGTGAGTAAAATACAAAGTTTCATCTTTTATACAACTGCTAGATTATGTTTTTACTTGTAAATATTGTAATTTTCTAAGATAACTATCAATTCATTTAAAGCAAGATAAAGCCAACATCAACTGCCCAGAAAACACATTTTGTTGTAAGATAGTTAAAGGGTAAACAGCATTTTGGTGTGGTTCATTTTCAGCAAACTTCTCCACTCAAACTAACTTCCTTATTATGAAAAACACCCAATGGAGAGTGACTCTTTTCAGACTCAGTGTTCTTTCATCATTATTATTTTTCCTTTAACTGTCCTTATCTCAATCTTTAAAAGCATTTTGTTTGGTTTGTTTGAATTTTGTGCAAAGCTACACAAAGGCTATCTGCCCTAGCCATCACTAATTTAACAGTGAAAGACTAGAGGGAAGGCAACTAATCATCACCACCCACCACCAACTCTTGAGCTGCTCTTTTACCAATGAATAGTGAGATTGACTGTCACATTACAATGCCCCCACAGCTGAAAGGGCAAGTATGTGTGGTGGGACAGGGAATCGAACCCGTGACTCTCATATTGCAAGTCGAGCACCCTAACCACTTGGTCATGCCAGGCCTATTTGTTTTTGTATTTTGAAAATAAGATCAAAGATTTAAATAATAAGAAAAAATATAAAATTAAAGTAGTATAGCAGCTCACAAGTAGTAGTCATTTCAGTTGTTTTCTGTTAGAAATGGAAGTTTCACAGTCATAGATAGCATGATGTAATTACATCATTTAACTTTTTATAAATTAGATTTAGAAGTAACAAAAGACTTTAAATCAAGTACAGTCTAACTTTTACTGCAGAAATAACTATAAAAAATAGTTGAAACTCTTCACTATGAAATTACTCAGGCTCTAACTTTGAACTTATGTATAGATATGTTACTAATTACCTGCTTTGTCTAATGACAGGCTAACTAATGACACTATTTCCAGGGGAGAGGGGAGAAAAATATATAATTCCTTGACTTATCCTTAGGTTTTATAAATCATAAATGTTTGAACATTTAATAAATGTTCATTCTACCATTATTAAAACTAATGTACTTAATTCTTTATTTTTAGTGTTTAAATAAATTAGTTGTTATAGTTAAACAAGGATAATTATAGCAGCTGTGCTATATATAAATTCTCCAAATAACTGTTACACATCTTATCAAACCAGCACAAATAAAAAAAAATCAAATTATTAACAATTTTTTAAGAGAGTTAAAAACTAATATAAGATTTCACCTTTTTGATACTTTACCTTACAAACAGGATGAAAAGCCAAATGAGGAGTTCCATTTTCTTTCTTTAAAACAGTAAGTTCAATCCACTCCCATGGTTCCTCTACTTCAACAGACTTTCTTAATAGCCACACATCATTGAAAAGCTATAGTAATATGGAATCACTATATAACCAAAATAATTTGGATTTTCTAGAAAACATACAATCACAAGTCTACTTTGAAATGAGATACCATATAAAAATAACAGTTCTCGAAAAAGTAGGAGTTTCAAAGAATCTATAAATATAAATTTTTACATTTTCAGAATTAAAATGAATTTTGAACAATACTTACCTCTGAAATATGACAAGCATTTCCTTGTTGGGTTGTTTTAATGCTGTCAACAAACAGTAACTAAAACTCTAAATGTCCCTAGCAGAATGCAGAACATGTGTCAAATTACCCATAGTTCTCCACCCCCCCCCCTTCCATGTGACATTTTACACTTGCATCAGGAGGATGTATATAAGCTCTGCTTTCCCATTATAATCCAGATTTCACAATTGTGATGGAAACCACATACCTCCTGGCTGTGGGGAGATGGGTGGCAATGTATTTCAGAGGTAAGTATTTTTTTTAAATTAATTTTTTTTCTACAAATATAAATTCAAAATATGCAGACTTACCTTTGAAATACAAAAAGCCAGAATACCCACATTGAGATGGAGAAGGGAACCAGAGCATCATAATGACTACTGGCTAACCAAAATTTGGGTTCTCAAGCAGGAAGGTAACAACAGTATCATTGAACTTAGGTGTTCTGCCTCTTCCTTTCCTATTTTCAAATTTACTTGTCTCAGACTCACAATCTAGGGTGTATTTGACAGTGTTTGGGGAGCATTTCAAGTCTGCAGCAATTTGTTGGAGAGTCCAACCAGCATCACATAAAGCTTTTATACAAACTCTTTGCTCTACTGACAATTCTCTATGTATTTTGCACCGCGGCATGACAACAAAATTTAATATATAGTTTTAAACATTGTTTTTATCAAGATTTATTTGTGGAGTACTATTAAATTGATTTATTCTAGCATATACCAGTGCCATATGCTAGCTCCTTGCTAACTTCTTTCTATATAGTTAAGACATTATATGGGGTACGATGACAGTTATTCCAGACCCTAAATTTTATTAGTATGTTCATTCAAGCAGAACTCTTATGACTTGCCTTTGGTACAAGTATATGGGAATTCTAAAGAATGATAAGTATTCTCACCCTGGCTCATTCAATTGTCAACAGGGATCAGTGAAGCATTACCATAGTGTTGAAATTTACATTCTGTAATTACATGGAAGAATTAGCCAACTTATAATGGAAAGAATGACAAAATACCCTTTTGTTCTAACACTTTTGCACAGTACTGAACATCCAATAAGGCTGGCAAACTCACAAAACCGGTCTAGCCAGTGAACACTCAGGGAGGATTGAAGTGACCCAGACAGATCTGAGGAAGGTCTGTACAGCTTGAAGACAGTGCAATAGGAACAAAAAATATGTTTTAAAAAAAAAGATAAATATAAAGAAGTAGGGAATTGCCTATCTGGGATGTAGCTATGAAATATTATATGGAAAACAGTTGTCTCATCTCCAACTTTCTCGAATGCTACAAAAGAACATGAACATGGAGAAAGGAAATGTACCTGCTAAGGTATCATCAGCCAATCCTCACTCTACTCCCAGAAGGCATCACTCTCTCATGAAGCACCAGTGTAGAGGGTGGAATTTTATCTATGACAATGGCAGAGGAATATTTAACATATGAGAGTCATAACTGAATGAACCCATGTTATAAGGAAACAGATACCTTTGTAATTGTTAAGAAGGGTATTGAGCCTTACAGTAATTCCTGGGTTACAATGCATAATAGAGGTGGGGGCTCAAGTGTTAACTAACAATGGAATAAAAAATAACTCACCTTCAAGGGATTCCAGAGACAAGATGAGGCAACAGGGAGTAGTGATGTCCTTTGGACATGACAGCCTTACAATGGAACATTTTGCAAAGGAAACTATGCTGCAGGGCTATTGTCAAGATGCACAGTAATCAAACAGAGTATGACCAAATTTGGCAACATGGACTGTAACAATGTGATGAAGCTCTTTGATCATTTTAATATAACGTACTCTCAACCGACGTATAATCAATCATTTCTCCAAGATACAAGGTCTACTAACTCATGATAAAACATTAAAACTGGCAACTACATAATAAACTAGCATAATCCCTAAACTTACATATAATAAGTAACACTACTAGCTAGATACATGCATATGTAGTTTCAGCTTCCTTTTAGACTCAAAAGCAGGGAAAATGAGCATATGAAACATAGCATGCTTACCATATTTGGTCCTCCACAGCCACCAAGAATTAAAATGTTCTTGTTATCAATTGACACCTGTAAAAAATTATTAACTTCAAAGATCAAGATTTCTTAGTTGATGATGTAAGACAAGATTATAAATAAAGCTGCATGTAAGTGTGGTTCTTTTCCAGGAACTTCTACAATCAAATCAAGCTCACTGAAGAACAAGTGTAATATTGTGATTATCAAGGCAGATAATGGAGGTCAAGCCATGGACATAACAGTTTATGACAGAAAAGTTAAAGAATTGTTGGAGGATGGTTCTTATGAACTAGCAGAAAAGGATCCTACTTTTTTGTTTTATAACAGAGTCAAAACTGTAGTAAAAAATGGTGTTATTTTGACACTGAAAGAAGAGAATAGCCTTGTTCCCTCAAAGTACATTATACCAAGGTTTTACACAATGCCTAAAGTTCATAAAATTTGCACTCTGTTTCATTCAACTGTGAATGACAGGGGGGCTCATCATTCCATCCACTAGCAAAGTTTGTCTGTCACAAATGTTCACTCTTAGCCAGCTCTCATAAGTACATGATAAAGAATTAATCAGATTTCGTTAGTAAAATCAATGGAATAAATTTGGAATCTACTGATAAACTAGCCTCTTTTGATATGGTGTCTCTGTTCACAAGGGTGCCATTTGAAGAGACAATTAGTTGTCTTGATAGTAGATTACTAGATATCAAGAAATTTTACCCTGTTAGAAGTGGGTAAAATTACTATTCTGACCCATGTGTGTGCATTAAATGTATATTTTTAGTGTTGGGAATAAATTCTTCAAATAGATTAAAGATTTAGCTATGAGATCTTCCTTGTTTCCCCATTTATGTGAGTTGTTTATGTTTAAATTTGAAATGGATGCACTAGATACTTTAGGGATTAAACCTTTGGTGTGGTTAAGGCATCTAGAAGACATTTTTGGTGTGGCAGAATGGCAATGGCACACTAAGGCAGTTTGAAGGACATCTTAATTCGGTTAATCCTACTATTCAGTTTACCTTGGAGATGGAAAAAGAAAGTCAATTAAATTTCCTGGATATGACATTCAAATGGGATAGTGGGCTTCTCTCAACATCAGTTTACAGAAAATCATTTTTATTGGCCATTCTGCCACACAACAGAACATGTCACCCCTGGCTACAAAAATTATCTGCATTTTCCATGTTTGTATTTAGAGCACTAATAATCTTCACTTAAGATTGGAGTTAATTTTCTTGAAACATGTAGATAGGGACAGAGACCACAATCCTGAGATTATTGATAGATTGTATAAGAAGCATAGCAATAAATTAAAAATGTCTTCTACAAAGTTAAAAAGAAATTAAATGTTGATGGCATGAGGGTTTGCTTGTCATATGTTTAAGGTTTGTCAACAAGAGTAGATAACATAATAAAACAATAAACAGATTGTGGTGTAACTTTCTCTTCGAGTTGCAAGTTAAATTATTATCTCATGGGACAAGTTGATAAATGCAGCATTTACAAAACTTCTTGTTCCTGTTGTCAAATTTATACTAGTCAAACATGTAGAAACTTGAAATTCAGACAAATATAAAGTGAATGAACTGGCTTTAGCAGAACATGTGGCAAGCATATCTGAAGTAATAGATTGGAAAAAATGTTAAACTGATGAATCAAGCTGAGTGGGAGCTAACTATTAGAGAATCAGTAGAAACTCAGAAAAATAAAAATATTTAATATAAAGAAGGTGCTTCAGGTATGAAATACTGGAAATCTGTTTTCGGAGCTCTTCAGAAAGGGTTGTATTCAGAGTTGAGAAGGCGCAGAGGGTGTAATGTAAAGATTATGTAAATTGGAGGTGATGTAGATACATCTGACTAACTACTACTACTCTTGATAATGGTGGAAAGCACTATTTAACATTGTATGTTCCTTTTTAATAGTGTAGTTTAATGTGTTTAAGTATTAAATTATATACACAGTTACAGACAATACAAATACAAATGTACACAAATATAAATAAAATTTTGCATGTAGAACATCATGTTACAACTAGTCAAATCACTGAGATCATTCAAGAAGATAAATGTTAAAAAGTTACAGTATACGTATATATTAAGAATTTGTGTGCGTTCATCAATCGATCAATCACAAATAAAACTAGATCTCATTTATCATGAACAAAGCTGATTTCATGCAAAATACTAACAGTTTTGCCATGATAAAATATCTAAAGATCTCACTAGCAATGCTGAAAGAAAAGTCAACGAACAACTTAGGTAAATAAAACTTTCTGGAGAACTTGCTACTATGAATTCAAAATATTATGTAGTCGCCATGTCACTGACACACATACTCAAAAACTCATAAATTGGACTTATCTCTATGCCTTATCATTCCTTTTAGAACTTTGTCAATATATTATGTTTCTAGACACCTAGTTGATATTCTTTCAAATTTCTGTGGACTAGCATTATCCTTTGTCAAAAAGTCTGAACATTTTCTTAAGATAAAATAATGATACACTTGTACATTTTGACTACATTTCCATTTTCACAACAGTACTTGTAGATGAAGTTGTTAGTACTGTCTTAGAGAAGGTATAAGAAGACAGAAGCCTTGTAAATAGAACAAACGTATCCCTATTACATGAACAATGGACAACTATTGGAGTCAGCACTATCCCAATAATGTGCCAGCTTTACACAAAATCATTCAAAGAAAAGGCTTCAGAAACAGCAAAACTGAAATCTAACATTTGGTTAAAGTACGTAAGTGATTTATATTTCAAATGTCCACATGGCTTGCAACAGTTTTTGGTGATAATAAACTTCCATTTATGAATGTTTAAACAGTGAGGAATGGATCCAGTTTATCCACTTCAGTGTACCATAAATAAACACATTCCAACAGATATTTAATACAGCAATTAATCATATGCACACCCCATTAAAACTAGCACTTTAAATTGTCTTTTGCTAGACAATTTGACTCTGTAAAACAAACAATTTTCTAGAAGAAGCCAATATGTTAAAGGAAGTTTGATGAGGAAACATTTTCTTCAAAGGTTTGAAGTGGACATTACCACTAAAGTCTCATCAACAACAAAAATCCAATAATAGAGGAATGTTCAACAATATTAGCAAGCTTATTTATCGTAAAGGCTTTACTGAAAAACTACAATGCATTTTGCACAAATATAGCATTTAAAGTAAACAAACTCTATGCTAACTAAAGTACAACCACACACTAAAACAAATTGTGTATACAAAGTTACATGTGAATGCAATACAGAGTACACTGTAAACACTGAATGGTCTCTTAATGTGAGATATAGAAACCTGCATCAATACATAATTGGCTTGAGTGTGAAAAGTTTCCCTCCATCAGTAAGTGAAAATTAGCTTTGTTGATGTCAACAATTTGGACCAGGATGTGGCACAAACAGAGATATGGGACTAAAACTTAATACTATTTGAGCTGGACTGACCATGAATAAAATAATTCTTAATATATATTATATAATTGTTTAAAATTTATTTTTCTAAGCTTCAATAATTTGACTGCAAAATTGTATTTATAATTGTCTAAATTTGTATTCATATTGTCTGGAACTGTCTATACCATTACTTCTTAACTCATAATATTTCACTTTTCTCCAACTTTTTATTAAATCTATAGGATTTATTTCCCTAAAATATTTACTTTCTTCACAATTTTGTAATTTTTATCTGTCTTTTTTCTGAGTTGTTGGAACCAGAGTTGGCTAAATGTTTAACTTATATGTTATGATAGCTGACATCATGTGATACACACACACACATCTGTTCTTACCAATAACATTAATTTGAATATCTATGTTCTTCATATTGTCCAATTAGCTGATAACAGTTCTAGAAACAGGACTATAAAGTTGCAGAGAAAAATGTTTTATTGTAGTGTAAACCCATTTAAAGGTGTTCCAATATTCTTCTTCCCAAGTTTAAATGATGTATTTAATGATCATGTATGTAACTAATAGAACAAGTGCAAGACAGGAAAACTAAAATTCTAAATAGGCTCTTTCAGGCATTTACAAATTCTTTCTTTTGCTAACTGGAGCACACTAGCAACCAGGTCAATCCTATTCACTTATCTAATACACAAATAATTGAGATTTATTAAAAATTGTCTCTGAAGCTTTAGTTATCAACTTGCACTTTCATTTGATGACATTATTATGGTGCAATTTTTATATCATTTATCTAATTATGGAATCTAAAGTGAACACTGTAGCTTACATACAGATGAATTTGAAAAACTACAAAAATGATTCAAATCTTTCAGTTCTCTATTGTAATTTTTTAAAGGAAACAGAGATGTCATAAAACACTTAAAAGATTACTACTGAAAATGTTACCAATTTCTTGTGTTGGTTATATTTTATCATCTCCATATTTCACATTTCAAAATATATAAATTCTGACAAAAAATGTTAATTATAAAATAAACCAACTGTCCAGGCTGCATGATTATTTTTTTATCACAAGTATTAACATATATTGAAAGTTTAAAATCTAAAGAGTTTACAACAGTAATTTTTGCTACAGGTAAAACTGTATACGAGACAACATGTTTCACATAATCTTGTAAGTTAAAAACTGAAAATCCTTTATAACACTTTTTTCATATTTCAACTTTTGTGTGTAATAACAGAGTGTGTTTATATAATGTTTTGTGTGTCTATTTTGTTTCATAGTCAAACATGCACATAAAGTAATTCTTTTTTTCCAACATAAAATAGCAATCATATCAGAAGGCAATTACCATATATGGAATATAATTTTAGCAAACACTTACACAGAATGTTTGAAAGTGGGATTCTAATTTGTGAGATCAAAAGCCAATACACAATCAGCATGCAAAGCATGCTAATGCTACATGGATCTAGGGACATGTCTCTCCAGAAAATTTGTAAAAAATAAGTGCTAGGAGCTTAAATCTGGAACCAATTTTGCATGAAATATAGTTTAAACAATTGCATGGCTGTTCACATAAAATCCACAAACATCTAATGTAAAGTCAACAAATCATCATTCTGTTGTAACACTCCATGGGGAGCTAGACTTAAATTAGCATAACTATGTATGTTTTATTATAGTAAAGTACTGAACTATCTACACGCAGAGTAGTTGCTAATTGTTAAATTATAATTTAAATAATTCTGTACAACAATAGGACATTAGTTATTTCAATCATTGGCTATCATATATGTACATGTATGCACTACTGAGATAACATGTTAGCATGCTCCATTCTTCTGTGGTGCTTTTCCATACATAACTTGCATAAAGTTTCAATGTTGATAACAGTCATAATGATTATGTATTAAAGCATCTAAAGCATTCAGTCTTTCTTAAGTTTGTGTACACCTCAGGCGGAGAGCAGATGCCGAACATGAACTTAATGGCAGTGTGGCAAGGAGTTTCAGTAACATAAAGATACTTGGTACACTGAAGCACAATTTTAAGCAGTCAGACAGTATCTAGGACCTGTCCTGGAAAGATAAAGAAAGCCATCTTGTCTTCCATCATTGAAGTTCTTCATCAGAAATATCAGGATTTGATAAATCTTCCCTGTAAAAATCTAAACCCTGTCAGATAACAGAGATATAAAACTCTTATGTGAGTTTTAATGGCACAAGTTTCTGAACTGACGCTGCTTACTTTACATGTGCATCAAATCTGGAGGAAAGATTACTTATAAAGAGGTCAAGAAAAGGAATTATTACTGTTTTCTTAAAGTAATCCTCCACAAACTGTATTGTAATAACAGAGCAGAGAAGAATAATTCATTTTGTCAATTGTGTTCTAAAGTAATTGAACCAGCCTGTGTGGACTTTGATGAAAAAGAGACAACTATTTAAAGCTCTGGATACAACTGTAGTAACCAACAGTATAACAAACATTTGTATGTAGGTTTGGCTTGTTTTAATATATTATTTCAAAACAAGTGGACTGTGTTGCCATTTGTTTGTTGTTGAAATTTACTGCCAACAAATCACAGACACCTACTATAAAGAATATGGCCTATAAAACCTGACAGTAGCAATACTGTTACTGGACTTGAAATTACAAAGTGTCAACAGAAACTACTGCATGCAAATATTTCAAGCCAAGAAATGCTAATACTTCATCAGAAGAATGTAGACTATGTAGAAAATGTTAAATACCCTAAGCAGCTACACTACAACTTTATAAGCATAATTCTTTTACATTACAAAAATAGGGTGTTTGGCCAAGTATAAAAAGAATATATAATTCATTCACATCTATTCTTTTCCTACTACAAGTGTAAAACTGAGTACAGACCTGTGAGTGACCATATCGAGGATGAGGTTGGGGACTTGTAGTAGCTTGCTTTCTCCATGTCCACTCCTTCAAATTCAACACCCAAACATCATTGGTGCTTTATATAAATACAATAATATGACTTTAAATTAAAATACTTTACACAAAGCAATGAGTTAGGCAGAGTTTTATATATTAGAAAATTAGCATATCAATTATCCGATTTAGTTGGATATATGATAAAATAATAGAATATTTATAAATAAAAGAATTCTCTAGTTATATGATATGACACTGAATTTAGAAATTATTTTAAATCAAGCCCTAAAGACTGAAACTCATGGAAGGCATAAGCGTGTAAGTGAAATTTATTTTAAGCTTCAGTTTTGCTTCATAGGTTTTTATAGATACACTTAGTCTACAAAGGTGTTCAATTACATGTAGTAATATATCCAAACAAGTGGTAAATGAATTTCAGTAACATCTAAGTCAAAACATTTGGGTCACTGCTGCTTGAAACTTAGTGGCCCAAAGTAGCTTTGGGTATCCCAGCTTAAATATACTTACATGTATAACAATACTTACATGTATAACTATACTTACATGTATAACTATACTTATATGTATGACATAACTATCTTGAATCTTAAATGTGAGTATACTTAAGACTATATGTTTTCCAACTATTCTTTACTAAAAATATGTTCTTCCGTTTACAATCTCCTACAATTATAGAATAACATAGAATATGTTAACATATATCAGAAGGAATGACAAAACCTTGTACATTTGTTACAATGTTAAACTTGTAATAGTTTTTATTGATTACCCATCCAAGTTGTCTTCAAACTTTATTTTCTCAAAGTGGATTCTTTGTTACCAAATATGTGGAAATAGGTTGTAAAACTACTAAGTTAGCTGTTATGAAAAGAAAATACTATTGTTTAAAATTAGACCACATCAAATGAATGAGTATAAATATTTATATAAGACATTAATTTATTTTTTGTAACTGTTAATATTTTCTTATCCAAGAATAAAATCAGAATGCAATGACTTGCACTCAAAATCAAAGCCAAAATCAAATTAGGCTTGATAAATATTCATGTTTTCTTACAACTGCAGGAACTAATAGAATTTTAATAAATATCTTTTTTACACTCAAATTCTGCCATGCATGAGTGCTGAAGTGGTGTTAGTTGCAAAAGTTGTAATGATCTTGTAGTAGATAATCACTGCTGTACCATCACTGAAAAACACAACTAGAGTTATAAAGCTAAAGTTTAGTGAGTGCTTACTTATCTCTATGAAATTCTTGACGTAATAAATTTGTTCATACAATATAAACATTTGTGTATTTTTCAGTTACAAACAATGATACTTAAATATTAACTTCACTTAGCATCTTATTAGTCTACTTAAGTAACAAATGGCCAAATACCTGTCAATTTATGCTAACTTTTCCTTACAACACCACAGTTTCCAGTTGTACTGTAGTGCTTCAACTAAAACACCAGCTGAGATTATGGACAAAATTATCATTAGCAGTGAAGGTACCCATCTGATCAATAAATACATCCTTACAAGTTTTTGTCTTTATGAATTTACATACACTTAGAATGGCATATTAAAACAACTATATTAATTACTGATAAATTTTTAATTCCAATCTACTTATGTAGCTTGCTTTGGTCAGAAATTAATGATAACATTTAAGGGACAACAAGGGGCTTATTGGTCTCAAGACCAGTCTCCACCATTTAAATATTTATCAAAATTTCCCTTAAAATTTACTGCATCCAGCACACCTTAAGACAACCAATTCCAAAGACCAACCATCCAATCAGAATAGTAAAACTAAGTTAAAGATGATTCCTACCCTGCCAAAATTAATATATGTGATCCCTTGTCTTACTATTCTCATCATGACATACAACAAAGGATGATGCATCAGTACTATCAATTTCCTTACCAATATTAAGCACCTCAATCAGATCCTCTCTGTCTTCTTTTTTCAAGATAAAACAATTTCAGAAACCTTAACCAGTCCTTATATGACTAGTTATCCTTCCTAGGTATCATCCTATAAGCCTTTCTATGAACCACTTACAACAATTTATATAACTTAACAAAATATTTCAATTAAGGCCTAACAAGTCACTTGTAGAATTAAATTATAATGCCTTTAGACTTATATAAAACATTTCCATAAGTACAACCTAAAGTCCTATTTGCCCTAACACCAGCAACAGCACACTGCTTTGATGGCTCAAGACACCTATCAAATAAAATACTAAGAACTTTTATTATGCGTCACTGTTAAGGTGATTTCCCTAAAAATTATACTTATAGCTTAAACCAGGGGTGGGCAAAATATGGCTCATGGGCCAGATCTGGCCTGTCTAACATTTCTGTACTGCCTGCCATGACTCCTGGCAATTGTGGAAAGAACATAATGGGGTCTTTATAAAATCAATGTTGAGGTAATTTAATTCATACAGTAAAAATGTGTGGCCCATGACAACTTACCATAATTCATGTGGTGGCCCCCCCCTGGCTTAATCTATATAATTTCACTTTTATTTTTGAAGATAAGTACTTTATATTACTTATCTTTCATTTATTTGTGTTTATTAACAGGAGCCTAAATATACTTCAGAGAAGTCTGAAATTACAGATCAACATTTTAAGTTTGGAAATTTGAAACTGTTAGCCACATAGCATATTCTTTTCATTGAGCAGAAAGTTTATAAGAAATACACAAATTGACAGATGCCAGTGAAAGTTCTCACTTTTAATTTTTTATAGTCATTGCACAATCTATTAAAAGATCACCACCAAGGTAAGTCAAAAAACTTATAAAAATAAACAGTTTACCAATCACAAAAATTATTTCTTTATTATCATGAACATTTCCATGATAGTTCAAGTAACAGTTTTCATCAGATCAAAGTCATTAAAAGTAATTGGAAATGAAAAATATCAGATATGCTAAAAGAATGCATAAGTAATATTATAGAGATTGCAACTATTGCAACAATGTTAAAGAGCAAAGTAAGGTTTTATTATGGGATGAAAAAGTAACAACAAAAACTGCTTTATACATGAATGATAAATGTCATAAGTATATGAGATATTTTAAATTGCAATATATTACTACAAAATCCAACTCTCTGTCTCTTATGGGTTTTAAAAGGATGAAAAAGATTCATTCAAACCATACAGAAGAAGCTTTCCAAGTTTATCAATTAGTCATTCTCTGTTATGTGTGTCAATAGGAGTATATCTAAGTCCTGTGATAGAAGTTTTCAATAGTGTATTGATTGCTGGTTAAATGTTTACCTATAGGTGTATCTCCGATTTTTGTCAAATGTGGCTTAAACGCTCTTGCATCTGCTCTCCAAGTCTGTCTTATGTAATGTTGACCACATTTTCTACACACTATACAATAAACACTTTATAGTGCATGTAAATACCTGTTTGATGGAGAATGTGGTGTTTCAGCTACTTAATTAAGTAGTACTGTTTAGTGCGAACCAGTGATGTACTTGTTCTTTTCACAGCTTCAAGTGCCTCGTGTTTGGCCTTGATGATGTTTAGTAAATTTACTATATACAAGTAAGCCTTTTAAGTTTGTGTTGTATCTGTAGGAAATTAGGGTAGACAGTAAACACTGAGCAAGTGGTTGGGTCATCTGAAAATATATGATAATTGTGCATTATAATATATGTAATCTTTTTTGTTTGTATGATGATCAGGCGATAGCGTTAGCTTTAGTAGCAGTATCAGGAACAAGACTGGATAGCCCCTTCTAGTCAGAAGTCTTTATATCCTGACATTTGAAATTAAAATCACCATTTTCATGAGCAAAACTGTGTCCTTATAATAAATACTGGTAGTTAATCATGTTTTAACTAACAACTATGACCATCAAAAAAACTTGATATAGATACACTTTCATCTCTATATCACAGTTTCAACTTAATGTGCTGATTCAACTTCCCACTCAAAAGGGAATCAGAATCCAATACTCATAAGAGTAAGTCAAAGCAAAGAAACAAAGATTAGAGTATCTCATCTAATATCTAAGCTAAGGAAAATGATCAAGAGACAATTCTGATGTTATGTCACTTTCGACACCATTTTATATTTTTAAATATCAAAAATCACAAGTCATTTCATCTACAAATGGTAGAATGTCAATACTGAGAGTGAAAATCTACAATATCTACATAATAAAAAAAACAAAAAAACTAACAAATATAACAGAACCTCTCTGTTAATGATCACAATACTCTAAAACGTGATACCAGATAAAAATAAAGGATTTATCTTAAGTAATCTTAGTTATGGAACTAACATTTCTGAAATTCTAACAGATTAACAGTATCATCTATCTCACAACTTCTGTAAATGTAAATTCGAAGCAAAATAACTTCCCACAGAAGTTTATAAATTAAATAAATTGTGGCTTTTAAATGACCTATAACATTTATACAGTCAAACCATTCAATAGTAAAGCCTTCCTTGATACATCATATAGACCAACAGTTTCCAACTACAAGTCAACCACAAAAACTCTTCCTTGATTACTACCCTAGTTATTAGACGTTTGTTTAAATTTGTGCTTGCTCATTCCATCAGTGCCACAAATTATTAAACATACAAAACGAATATCCTCTATTCTTTTTCATTTACTTTAGATGGAGAAGCTTTATACACTTTTAAAACTACAGAGCAAGGTGTATAAGATGTTTCAAATTTAATTTCAGGTCAATTTCTAACATCAACTTCTTTGGAATATCTCTTAATCTTATTCAATCTTTATTAAGACTCATTTTTAAGAAAAATTACTTTTAATTTGGAGAAAATTCGTGTACAACAACTTAATGTTGTTTCTATGGGAGATAGGTTAGCTGTTATTTTTTTTCTGTTTTATTTATGCCTGTTTCCGAGATGAGTGCTCTAAGTCAATGGAAAGAGATAAATTAATCTTACTCAAGAATTTTAGTTAAGAGATATTGATGAAATTTTTGGTACATGGTATCATGGGAAAACATCTTAAATATTCTGATTTTTAAAACACTATTCATCCTATATCAAATTTACAATGAATGTTTCACTGAAGAAAAACAAAGCATTTATTTCATAAATGTCACTAACTTTATGTATTTGGTTAGAAAAAAAAAATAATTTTTTCAAAATATTTCAGAAACAGCTGAAAGACCAAGTATTCTTAAATTATATAGTATATGCAAGTAGATATTACAACAACATCATGATGCTGAATGCTGGAGTCTTAAACATAAGTATAACATTCTATGTTCCAAAGCTGAAGAGCTCCAAACTTTGTATTAGTTGTTAAAACTGTAAATTTGTGAAGCAGCTACACAAATGTTCTCTGGAAATTTATGGTTGTTATTATTTCTTTAATCTATGTCTTCCATGCTTCTGTCAGTCAAGCTATGAAATGCTTAACAGCACCTTTTGTATAATTACTATGTTTCATTAACAAAGAAAGACTGAGTGAATTTGAAATAACTTTTTCTACATCACCTCTACACTTTTCAAACAAAGCTAAAACTCTAATAGAAAATTTATTTTTCTTATGTTAAGCCATTTTAGTATTACACTTTCTATCAGTTTTTCCAAGTATTGTGATTTAACTGACTGATTTATAATAGGTTTTACTACATAATACTGCAAAACATTAAAAGCAAGATCAAAGAGGTTGAGAAGTTAAATTTTCAGATTTAATACCTACAATGCAGAATATAAGACAGAAGAACTCTTAACACTGTGCCACTTTTACTACCTGGGTATACATATAATTTACTTAATTTTAAAGAAAAAAATGAAAATGAGATTCACCTAGAAAATATTCCTGCTCCATTTGGACACTCCAAGCCACCAAAAACAACCATTTCATCATTCTGTAGTGTAGCAGTGTGACCTCCAAGAGATGGTGAAGTGCAAGTTGTCACTATCTGTGTCCAACGATTAGTTGCTATGCTGTAAACATGCAGGTGTCCGAAAATTTTCCGATTCTATTTATAAGAGATGTGTGTGTCATTCTACACAGATTGTTACACAGAACAAATAATAACATGAAATAAAACATGATGTATGTCATTCTACACAGATTGTTACACAGAACAAATAATAACATGAAATAAAACATGATGTATGTCATTCTACACAGATTGTTACACAGAATAAATAATAACATGAAATAAAACATAATGTATGTCATTCAACACAGATTGTTACACAGAATAAATAATAACATGAAATAAAACATGATGTATGTCATTCTACACAGATTGTTACACAGAACAAATAATAACATGAAATAAAACATGATGTATGTCATTCAACACAGATTGTTACACAGAACAAATAATAACATGAAATAAAACAAGGTATGTCATTCCACACAGATTGTTACACAGGACAAATAATAACAACATGAAATAAAACATGATGTATGTCATTCTACACAGATTGTTACACAGAATAAATAATAACATGAAATAAAACATGATGTATGTCATTCCACACAGATTGTTACACAGAACAAATAATAACATGAAATAAAACATGATGTATGTCATTCCACACAGATTGTTACACAGAACAAATAATAACCACATGAAATAAAACATGACGCATGTCATTCTACACAGATTGTTACACAGAACAAATAATAACAACATGAAATAAAACATGATCAATAACTCCACACAAAAGAACAATTTATATATATAACAATATTTCATCATTACAGACTCATCAAGGTTAAACATCACCAGTGATACACAGACACACACACACAAACAAGTCAAAATACAACCTCAGATATTGTTTTGCTTGATTGCACTTGATGTGGAAAACTGTATTATTCAGTTTCCACAAATTTAATGTCATGACCTAGTACTGTCATAACAAATAATCAAAAATACCTTTACATAATATACATAAAAACTAATCATGAATATATTACCATTAAAAATACACAGAAAAAACAAAAACCATCAAATTTCAAAGACATTATGAATTATTTTGCTACAAAGCAACTGTTAGGGTAATGCAAATTTCATAAGCTCTGTTCTAAACTTGTATTTATCTTTCTAATATATTATCAAAAGAAGAATATTTTACGAATTTTTAGTCATATAACTATTCTTTTCTACCTTGCTACAACATAATGCTTGTACATTCTACCAATTAAATTCCAGTTTTGTCAAATACAAAGAGAAAAGAAATTGTTAAGCAGCAAGTGATAGATTACCCAAACTGATAGGGAAAGTAGATGTATGCATATGCAAAAACTGTAATTCATCTTTGTGATATACAAATTTATGGCTTTAGCTCTTTCATAACATAAAAAATTATAGTGCGGATTGTACTTAGATGTAACAAAATTATATCCAACTTTATACTACAATTAGTCCTGCCATTAGGCTTCACTCATAGTGAGGAACAGAATAGATGTATCTGCCTCTACTTCTACATGCAATAAGTACAAAAGCCTACTTGTTAATTGTTTTTCATGATAGCTAGCACACTGAACATATGCTGAGACAGACACATAAAGAAACTCTGTTTTTCTTTATTTAATAATAAGTCTAGTCTGCTGACAAGGCATTTTGTGGTGTCCTAGCAGAAATGCCTTTGTCTTGAGGTAAGTCAGCTGTTCAGATTTTGTCTTGAGTTGTTATAAACATATGTATGCACAGAGAAGAAGGTCAGTGGTTAAAATATACAACAAAAAACTCAAGTGTTCTGTAATTACATTCAGAATCATCTCTATTTGTTAATGAAGTTTTTTTGTATTATTTCAAAGTAAAATAACTGTGCCAATCATTTTATTTTGGAATCTTCTGGTACTGGAGTACCTAATTTTACTTACTTACTGGTAAACACTAGGAACTACGTTATTAAGTAACAGTCTGGAAGCTGTGACAAAAATACATTTTTCAGAATGTCAGTTACATGCTTTTCTTTGTTTTCCACTTGTATGTTTCTTATATCATTAAGTCTGTAATTTATTAAAGTTAAATGTCTGTTCCAAGATCACAAAGGACTTGCAGTGGGAAGAAGGAAACAACAACTAAGGGGAGACAGAGTTATAAAAAACCAGTAAAACATAGGAGAAGTACTCTCTTGGGCCATGACATTTTCCATGCAAAGAGCCATGTTTGTGTTATAATTGAAGCCCCAGATCCACAAAGTAGAACACTAGCCAGAGCTTTCCTACGTTGAAGAACCAGTTCAACCTCTCATGGTTACCTCAAACTGTGAGGTAGTGTCATCATTTTTTTGTTAATTATTATTATATTTCTATCGTTGTCAAGGTAATTATGGTTATCTGTAAATCAGTCTGCCATTTTATGGAAATAAGTTAATCAGGTACTTTGTAAACAGCCAAAAATCATCCCACATGTCTAATGGTGATGATGTAAAACAGATTAACCCATAAACATTTTAGGGTTATGCCAAGATTTTTTTCTTTTGATATCAAGTTAGGAGTTTTAGAGTTATTCACATGAAACATAAAAATTGCAAGATGAAAAGAAGTATTTATATTCTTAGCATGAAAATCACTTTTCTTTCAAACTAACTCACCAAAGTTTCACAAATTCACAGACAAAAAGTTAGCAGAAATACTCTATTAACAATATCAATGTTTTTGTATACAACAGACTTATAATGTTTTTACTAAAAGCTTGCCACATTTCATGAAGATAAATATAGAAAATTCAGAGCTATAGTATTTATAGTTTCACAATTAAAGATTGGTCAAACTGACCCACTCTGTACAGAAAGAGTTAAAGATCATTTGTCAAATATATGCCCAATTTATCAAGTCAGCTAATAATACCCAAGAGTTTAAAATTATCAGCAAACTTTATACATTTATTAATTATGCCCTTTTCAATATCACTAATGTAAATAAAAAAAAGGAAAGATAAAAGCACTGTTCCCTGAGAAACTCCATTAATAACAAGGATCTATTTTGACTGGACTTCATCAATAATAAACTTTTGCTCTCTCAAATCCAACCATCCTACAATCCAACTAACTAGTCTTTCCTCAATCCCTAACAATGTGACTTTCTTATCCAATCTTTTATGTGGCACTTTATTAAATTTTTTTTGAAAATCTAAGCCCACACAGTCTTTCTATTGGACAGAGAACAAGTAACATCCTTGTAAGGAAAAAAAAAAAAAGATTATTAAGGCAAAATTTCCCTTTGGTGAATCCATTTTGAGTTTCAATTATGAATCACATTTCACTAAGTGGCTTTTGTAAAGTTTCTTTTATCAGACTCTCCAGGACTTTTTCCACTATATAAGAAAGACTAACTGGTCTATAGTTTCTAAGTAACACTCCTTTAAAAACAAGAATAACATTAGTAACTCTCAAATCCTCAGGCACCTGTTGTCTGTCTATTGACACATCAAAAATTAAAGAGAGAGGCTCCCATATCCAATCTTTAAAACAATGGGGAAAATCATAGTCTGGCCCTGGTGTTTTAACTATTTTTAATTGAAGGTCAGACTTAGGGCAGTACCAAGGAAAAGAAATAAGAGCTGTGATATGCAAAAATTATGACAGTTATAGGTTTATCATTAACATAGAAGATGAACATATCCTAATAAATGTAAATTCAAACTTTTCAACAAGGTTGTATGTGTTTAGATAGATATTCAACACGAAAAGGATGTACCCATCTGTGTACTATGTTTAAGCATACCATTAAGCTGTCAGTATTAGTCACAGCTAATGTATGTGTGTCTGTCTCTGTATATGATTGATACTTTAAATACATAATTAATTGCTTTTTCATGATGCTGACATAATGGACATATGTGGATATAGACCCTCAGAAAACTTTGCTTTCCTTTGCTTTAATATTGAGTCTAGTGTTCTGATACCAGTGACATGCCATTCTGGGAGGTTTGAGAGTCTTGAACTTGAATTTAGTTCCAAGCAAAGCAAGTACTTGAGCTGAATTGTTCTTCTCTTGGTTCAAGTTAGTTGTACAGATCTTGCCTCGAGTTGCTACATATATATACATACACACAAAGAAGCCCAGAAGTTAAAACATGCAACAGAAAATGGGTGTCCTACTACATTTACATTCATTTTTGTTGTCAATACAATATTTTCTTTACTTCAAAGTCAAATAACTGTGTCAGTCTCTTTCTTTTAGTCATGTTTAGCTTATTCAAATCCTGCATACATTTCCTAAAAACATCCTTGTTATTGTGGCACTTAAGTTACATATCTGTTGGTCATGTGTACCTTGGTACATCATACCCTTTCCACCAGCTGTCACTGAAAAACAGGTGAAAGCCTACCTGATATGGTGAATATGGGGATGTATGTGTCCACCCTCCAAAGAGAACCAGATTATCTTTGTGAGATACCAATGTGGCACAAGCTTTTGGAGATGGATAAGTACCTATAAGCACATGTAAAAACTTTTTTGTACCAAATAAAAAAAAACAAATCAACAGTTCTATATGAACATTTCCCAGAACAAAGACATTAATCTATAGAACAAAAACTATCAAGACTGTTACCAGCTTTTAAACAAACTATGATAGCATTACAGTACAATAAAGTTATTTACATTATATTCAAATATGACTGTACTTTTACTACACAATGTGCATGCATACATAATTACCTGTAGCTAAAGGACGAATCCATCTTCGAGTTGCTAAGTCCAGCCTCCACAAGTCATTGAATGTTGTATTAGCAGTGGTGCATCCACCAAAAACATACATAGAATCACCATTTACACAGCAGCTATGAGCATACCGTTCAGATATTTTAGGTCCTGGTTCTGGAAGCATGTGGCGCCACTGGATTTGTCTGTTTATTAAGGCATGTTGCAAATCTCGCTGAACTTTTCTGACAGCAGCTATGAAACAGGTCATAATTAAAATCATAAAGAGAAATTCAGATACTTTTAGATACTGTACCTATTTACATCATCTAAGAAGCTTCAGACTCATTCATAATAAAAACAGTATTATACATGAAGGTAAAACCCACTAGAATTTAGTTTAAAATTATATTCTGTAACACTGTTATTTAAGTAACATATATATATATATATATGTATATCAGCAATGCAGCACAGTCCCACAGCCAGATGCACATTTTAATCACTTTTATACTGAACAGTTATTTACATTCCTAGAATAACTTGTCCATACTAGTGAGAAAAACATGAAAGACCCACCATTAGACATTAAGCATTATTTATCTAAATACATATTTGTTTTCAAACAGTGATGAAACAGTCTTATATTAGTATGAGAAGTTATACAATTTTTATCAAAAATCTTATTATAATGTTGAGTTTCAAATGCCTATGAAGCTCATGTAATTAACTGCATGCAATTATGTATCTGTGTCATTTCTGGATGTTTTGGTTATTGATTAATTACACATGAATACTGGTATTTCAAAGTTCAATTAGCAGTTTGTTTCACAAAAAAAGTCAAAGAACTTATGAAGATATGAGGAAAATTGTGAGCCTTGTTAAGTGATCTTCAAGCTTCACAGATAGCTGCCTAATTAACTGTTACTTTACATGAGCAAAAATATGATTTACTCAACAGTTAAAAATATTGTAACTTCTTGCTAAAGATCCACAACTCAAAGTGCTATGGAATCCATGTTTTTGTGCTTTATACAAATTCACTATTGTCTATGATATTTTCTAAATGTAGAATTTTTAGTCAAGTCCCTATGATGATATTTATAAGTCCCACCCTTACCATGATTTTAATAAATCATGTTTGTGTTTCATTAACTGCCTCTTTTTCTTTTGTTGAGATGTTATTAACCTTGCAAAGACATGTGAAAGTAATCCTGTTGTGTGGGAATCCTGAATTGAGTCAGTGGCAGGAAGGTCAAGACAGAATTTCGTTTGAGGCATCTGGCAGGAGACTCCTTTGCTTTCCACTGCTTTCGTGGCCAAGTAAACCTTCTATAGCAGCTAATGAATTCATCCCTTAGCAAGACCAAAAAGGTCAAATTATCATATTATTCAGAAGTAGGAATAAGTTAAAGCAGCATGCTTCCAATTATGAGAAAATATAACCTTCATCTGCATAAATCCCAGAAGATGATCCAGATCAGCACGTGAAATTTTGTCAATGGTTCATGGTATAAACAGAAATGGATGAACACTTTACCTATAAGGTGTTTTAGATAGATGCAGAAAAGTTACAATTAATGGTACAGTGAACTGCCATAACCAGTACTGAGAGTCTGATAAAAGCAGCTTTACAAAATCACTTGGTGAAATATAATATCATGAAAGAAATTAAAATGGATTCACTAAAATAGAACCATCCATAACTAATATGCTAACTTGTTTTGAGGATGTGATACCAAGTTGATGGAAAAGAAATGAACTTGTAGTTAATTAAAAAAATAACACATTGATGATGGTTGGGAAACACTATTAAATTGGAGTGCCAGGTGGTTGGATGAAGGAAAGCAAAAAAGTTATTATTAATGGAGTCAGCCAAATTGGATCATTTTTTTTAGTGGAATGCTTCAGAGCCTTTGCTTTTTCTAACTTACATTAATGAATTTGATAGGGGCATAATTACTAAAATTTGCAGATGGCATTAAATTATTGGGTATTTCTAACTGTATTGTGAATGCTGAGGTATAACATAATGACTTGTTAGTTGGACAAACATTTTGCAAATGACCTTTATTCATAGCAAGTGGAAGATAATGTATTGGGTTATCATAGCTTGGATCACACATTTAATATCATTGGCAGTGCACTCAACAGAATGAGTGGTGAAAACCTTCTTGACATAATGGTCAACAAGCCACTCAACACATCAAGGCAGTACTCTGTTGCTAATTGCAAATATAACTGAATGTTAGTGTGTATTTATAAACATATTGATGGCAAGACAAAAGAGGTAATTATCTCTATACAAATCACTACCTAGGCCTTACTTAGAATACTTTGTACAGTTTTGGTTTCTTTATTCTGTGCTTAATACCCCTTACTTATTATAAGAGTATACTTAGTATGCCTGCTATTTCTATTCCCAGGGACAATACAACATACTTTGATAAGGTGTGGTTTGTAGGGCTTTCTTCAATAATATATACTACAAATCAACCAAATATAAAATTTTTGATATTTCTTCAAATTTCCCAATTCTCCCTGCTTCCTTGGAATTTAAAATGTATGTTCATGAATGCTTAATAAATCATTTGTAAAAATATTAATAAAATAATACACAGCATACTTGTACAAATAATGTTTGTTTTAGTACCAGGTAACATGTATCAAGAGTATGTAAATGTAAAATTGCTATTTTGGAATTCTCAATTTTTTTTGGTTGAATTGATCTATGTAACTGACAAAAAGAAGGTTTTTGAAACTTGTGAATAACAAAAAAAAACTTCTGTATAATTGCTACAAGGTAGCTCAATAAAAGAAATGTAAAATGAAACTAACAATTGCTATGCATATCTTTTAATTTTTACTGTAAATTCTAAGAACTTACTTGTGAAAGAAAAGAAGAATATTTTATAATATGTCAACCCACTACATCTGCTATATCCAGTGCAAATGAAGCCTTTCGTCCAATACAGGGTTTATCTGGCTGGCTCAGATACAATAGATAAAGTAGTGGTCTAGGCATAATTTATATCATCAACTTTCACAAACAACAACTTTTATGGTGTGAACTAGATCTAGTAAGTGAATTATAATTATTATCAATTTTATTAGTCATAGCAAGTTAGTATAATAAAACAGAGAAATTCTGTGGGAGCTACAGCATGCATAGTACACCAAAAGAATGAGCCAATATGCTACACCAGCTGATTAAGACTAAGCATCAGTTAACTTTATCTTAGTGTAATATTCTTACTCAAGCAAAGTTTGCTGCTTGAGGATAAGTTAGAGAAGGCTTTTGGGAAATTTGTGCTATTAAGAGGTGAAAATAGCATACGTAGAACTGAAATTAGGGAAGCAAGCCAGGAAATGGAGTTAGTTATTTAGGGTGAGTATGTGGAGGAAAGTGCTGAATTTACAAGGGTGCATAATAGTAAAATGTTAGGGATATAGAGCATAGGCTCAGTTAGCATTCAGGTACTAGTCTAATAGATTTGAACATTTGGCTGCTTACAATGAGGAAGACGATAATCAAGAGGGTACAGGGTGAGGGACCCTTTCATTAAGCATACTGATAGTTGTTTTTACTGCAAAGAATAGAAAATAGGGCTAGAATTTGCTTGCTTGGTGCTAAAGTAGAGGATAATAAAGAGAATGTTGACAGTTTACTCAAGGGTACCAAAGAGCAGTATATTTTTGTAGTGCATGTAGGAGCAAATAAAAACTTCTTCAGAAATTTAGGGATAGAAATAAATGTGCGTCCCTTTCAAGAATGCTTCCTCTGGGTAGATGTGGGAATGAATTATTTAATGCTCAAAGGTTGAAATGAAAGAGTATCAAGAATATGTTTAGAGTAACAAATGTGTTGGTTGAACATATGAGATACTTTTGAGGATAAGGGAGAATTACATGCTAAAGATAAGCTCCATTTAAGCAAGGTAGTTAGTAGGACATTTGGGGAAGCTCTATAAAAATGTATTAAAGAAAGTTTAAACTAAACTTGCATAGCATTAGTAGGAAATTAGGAATAAGTAAATTGCTAGGCTAACTAAGGCAGTATAGAAATTGGAAAAAGAATTGGAGGATTACAAACTAAGTAATAATTTTAAAGTTAAGTCTTTTACATTTAAAGGTAAGCTTATTTAGTTGCTATTATTCTAATGTTGGAAATATCAGTACCAAAATAGATAAGTTAAGGGCTCAAACTGAAATGTATGACCATTATATAATGGGAATTACTAAAACTTGGTTAGATTTGTAGAATACTGATAATGAAAATTATTCTGAAATTCCAGGTTATAAGTTATTTATCAGTTACAGGTTTTGTAAAACTAAAAATGACTTATAGATACTTTTTTATTTGCAATTAATATGTTTATACTTAGGCTATAAAATTCTATTAATCATGCTACTAGCAACAGATTGCTTTTTTGATAACTTGATTGACTTTCATTTAGTCACTCTATTGAGTGGGTTTCCATCTATATTAAACATGTGATCAAAATTATAATTTAAATGCATTACCCTCTATTTACTGTAATTAAAATTCATTTGCCAAAGGTTTGTTCAACATACCGATTGATACAAGTTATTTTGTAATACCTCAACCTCCTAAACAGCAAGAAATAATTAAGAATTTAATGTCATCAGAAAGGTATAGCCTTAACTACAAAAAAAGAAGAAACTTGTATTCCTACAGACAGATCTTACCCAATTGTTATATAACATATCATAATTTATCCTACCTTTGGATAAGTTGTACCATCGTCTGTTGACCAACATACAATGTTTCAAATCACTGTATAGAGAAACCTGACAAAGTATATATTCAAGAACAATCTCTGGTAAATGTTCTACATTTATAGTAATATGATTCATGCTAATTACGGTATCAGTCGAATATCGTAACTAAATAAGATGCTCACAAATTTCTAAACTGCACGTACTTCACCAGTGCTGTGGCAGTATACACTGTTTTCAAACTAAAAATATGCGCAAATTTATATTATATAAAGCAAGACTACCGGTGCAGTAGCAGACTATACTATAGCCCTTTTGTATTCACGCTGTTCATCAATCTTCTTGTTCTGAATTGGTCATCGGTATTCAAATGTAGATGTAGTTGTAACTTGTATTGTAATGTAAGTTGTAGTGTAGTGTAGGCCTTCCTAGATTTCTTTTCTTTCTTTGATACTTCGGATACGATGTTTCCCTCAGATTATTCACTAATAACGTTTATATGATCCTAATTTTAATATAGACAGTAACAGTTTCACCAAAGAAAAACAAACCACCTAATTATTTTAACGTCGGTACAAACATCAAAACGCGTTTCTCACGTATCCATGCTACCAAGCGACGAGAGTACCCTCTCTCGTAGATTTGACCATTTTAGTTATAGGGGATATTTTGTCTTTATGCAACCGCATCTAATACAGCTAATGAATATTTCTGTTTAATTCTTATTGTGTTTTAGAGAAAATGACATACATAATTTGTACAAAATTTTGAGGTATAAATATAAATAATTATTTACATTAAAAAAAAAACACCAAAGAAATTTTAAGTCTACTTAAATGTATTGTTACGTATCTGGTTGTTTGTTAAGTTCCGGTATAAATTCTCCCCGAGAAACTTCGGCGATACGAGTTCTTTCTTAATTAAAACTAGTTTATTCTTTCTCGTTACAAACTTTGTAATACACAGAATTTTCACAGTACTTTAACTTAACACACGCTATAATTCACAACGAGTCACGCACTTTACTTACGGTCACTACCGCTCGCTTGACTCAATTATCTGTCTCTATATCTGTCTATCTGCAATTATATCTCAGCTTTATTTGCAGGGCTTATATACTAAAATAGAGGCCGCTTAGAAAAGATTAGTTGCCAAGAAAAGTCATGATCCTTCTAGAAACTCATGACGTGTAAAAGCGTCACGTGACTTCTGTTGTCGTAACTCTTCCTTGGTATTGTTACGTCTCCGTTCGTTAGTTTATTTTCCGCAAATTCGTTCCGATGAAACTTTAGCGACACAAGTTCTTTCTTAAATAAAACTGGTTTATTCTTTCTGAATATAACTTTGCGATACACTTAATTTCAACAGTCGCGCTATAAAAAACGCTATAATTCTCAACGAACGTCTCACGAGCTCGACTTCAACAGTACTCCGTTCAATTACACACTCTCTGACTGCAGTTCAATTACTCATTGCCCCGTCACGTTGTGACCGTCTTATATATACAAGACTAACACATATCTAGTAAATGCTAGGGCATTCATGAAGGAACAGGATACTTCTAGAAAGAGGTGGCGTGATACTAGTCACGTGACCTCGCTGACGCAACACTGCCCCCTCCTTAATATTGTTCGTCCCGAACAATAACAACATATAATAAACCAATAACAATAACTTAATTAAAATGTACAGAATTACAAACACAAAATTTAAAATACAACAAAGTCTCTTAATTTTACAGGACGTATCTTCTTCCTTACTGGTCTCTATCGCACTGGCTTCTGCTTCACGTGGGGTTCATCTGCTCCATCAGGAAATGTTCCATTATCGGTAACAGTCACATCAGTGGTAGTAACTTCATCAAGGGCTTCACTGTTTCCCTTCTCAAAACCGGGTAGAGTTTCTTCTTCAATAGTGGCTTTTTCAGGTGACATGTCTTCAGCAGCGTAATTTGTTCCGTTGTTTACTTCATCCCAACTGAAATGTCCTGGACCGTGATAACGCCAAAGCCTATTGGCATGCACCACCTTTGGCTTACCTCGCCGACCACGTTTTATTCGAAAAGTCATGACTGAGAGACGATCCACTCTGTCATACGGGCCTTCCCATGGAGAAGATAACTTAGGAGAGTTCCCGTTGGTCTTCCTGGGATTATACAATCACACCTTGTCTCCTGGTACAAAACTTACTTCAGTAGATCTCTTATCATAACATAGCTTCATGGAATCAGCAGAAGTTTTCAAGTTTGAATGCACTTGATGATGAATATCATCTATTTTTCAGATAACACTTTCACGAACTCTGACACATTTTCAGGCAACTCTTTATAAGGAGGGCGTCCTGTTATCAGATCCACTGGCAACCGAAGTTCCCGACCAAAC